AACTAAATTATTTGAATATTAATATATTTTTATCTACTTTTTTAACATTGTTTTTACGGTCATATATTTAAATATTAAAATGTAAAAAAATTTAACAAACAAATATATTCTACAACAATAAATACAAACTATTATTTAATTTTCAAACAACTAAATAAAAAAATATTATATCAGCGTGAGCAAATTCACTAATTATTTCATAATTGACATGTTTTGTGATGGACAATTTTATTTATTGGATTATTTGCTCTCATCGTATCATGCTCATGTCGCAGAAAATAATTTGATGATTAAAACATTATGAACAGAGGTCGGTACATCTTTCCAGATCACATAATGTCATATTCTAAATCTTAAAAGAGACATAAATCAACATCTATTTTGTACAAATTTTAAATTCATTCTTCTAAAGTTGCGTTTTGAATTTCCATTTGTCCATCACTAAAACATCTTCTATCATATATGTATGTTTTCTAGAAATTAATGAAAATTTTCTAACTTTTAAGAAAAGGTAGAGATTTATTATATGATAGTGACTAGTGAATGGACTAGTCTTCGAAGTCGCTATCGCCACCGCCAAATAAGAAATTTTTCAAAAACAAAATCAATTGGGACGTTTCAAGATGGAGACCATAATATATATGTTGCATGTCATATTGTCAATCATCTCTCACATATTATAACTTATACGTATAACCAAGAATTCATATATTTTTCACCGTTACCTTAACTATCATAATATAAGTCCACTTTTTTGTAGTTCAAAACATAATATAAGTCCACTAAAAATGAAGTTTTCTTCCATATATAATTAATGAGTAGATAAATCATTAGTATCCATAACCGATTTTGTGTTTACAAAGTTTTCTAGTTGATCACTACTATGCACTGCATTGTTGTTGATGATTCCTCGTGAAGTAACAATGAAATTCTGCCGTCAAATACAGGCAAGCAAAAAAGATCATCATAACCATATCTACATCTAGCAACCAAATCTGGTCAACAAATTCGGTAAAGTTACACACGATTTGGAGACAGATATTTTTTTTTTTAATGAAAACATATGATTTGGAGACAGATTTAAACAGTCAAATTAAAAAAAAAAAGAGTGTTCTAATCTGTCGGTAATTACTAATTGCTGGCGAAACTAAAAATTTTTTTTTTCTTTTATAACAAAAGACGTAAATATCTCTTTCGTACATCCAATCATAGCTAAAGCATTTTTTTTCTCATGAAATGTTAAAGAACAAAAAGAAAACACACACACACGTTCGCTCAAATTAAAATGTGTGAATATGCACCACCAACCGAACTGACATAAGCTTGCACGGGTGGTACATGTATTATCATGCATGCTCTCTAGACTAGTCATCTAGAATACGAGTATCTTATTCTTTACTCGCAAATTATAATAGTATTTAAAAAATACAAAGCATATATTAATATGAAAAATGTATATATGTATATACATTTAATTCAACGGCAAGAGTACGGTGGGAGAATTATTGTCCCATGTATTCAAATAGTACTCGTTTTTCTATGTTTAATTAATTTTTGAAACCAAAGTTGTCGTCAAGTATTAGAGGTTAGATGTTATGTCGTTTTCTTTCATTTTCTACGCAACAAAACGTGGAAGATGCTCTTCTTTAACACCTTCGTATTGTATTTGTACATACACGAACTTTTTTTTCTCTTTTGAATTGACCCCAATAAACACCTAACCACTCACCGACACATTTCTCTTGCCTCATTTAATCTAATGCCATGTTAATTATTCAAATGTTATGAGTCTATGACTTCTCATTTACTCATTCCTCACATACATTTCTCTTCAATTCGTGATTCGTCTTTGATCGTATTTATGAGCTACGACCCTGCGATAAACTAATCATGCGGCAACAACCGAGTTGAAGAGCAAACTTTATTTTTCGGAAATACTGATGTGTGTTTTTAATGTGAACTAAACTTATTAAAGTCTACAGATAACAAAACGTTTGTAGGTGTATCATGTTAATACAGTATGCATGGTGTTAGATAAAATTTGTTATCACATTGATTTTTTTTTTTTTTTCAATCACATCGATACTACTTCCGTTCTTAAATAATTGATGTTTTAAGGGTTTATTTTTGTTTTCAAATGATTGATGTTATCTGTTTTCAATACAAATTTAAATATTTTTTAATTATTTTAATTTTTTATATTCTGCAGAGTATTTTTTTTATTGGTTGAATTATGTTTGAACAATAATAAATGATGTGTTCAGTATAAAAAATAAAATAAAAAAACATGAATTCTTAATAAATGTGTAAAAACCTTAAACATCAATTAAAAATTTAGTATGGAGGGAGTAACTAATTACTTATATAAATCTAGTGAACGGTCGTGTTTATATGACGGAGTCATATTTGCTGTTTTCCATAGCCGATAGGTCAAGATCACTTATTAAAGATCACCAAACAAACGCTACATTGGTATCACCCATTTGGTTTTTTAGTAGGATAAAACACAATACACCTTGGAAATCGAAACAGATTAAATTTTATAGATCATTGGCAAGCTGGAAGAAAAATAGTATTCATATTCAACTTATAAATTTTCAGCGTAGATTTTTCGAAGAGTATTGAAATTATTGAAAATATACTTTGAATATTAGTATTTTCTTCAAACTTGCCATAAATTTCTTTGGAAATTGGTCCATATCATTTTTTGACTATGTGGTCTGATCGCACTAAACCAAAATAAACCGAACGGGTCCTTCGAAACAAAACTCGAGACTTTTCACATTTTTCCCGAAAGAGACGCCAAAAAATCTCAGTCACGGGAGTGAAGAAAAGTTGATAAAAATTCGCATTTCGCCGGAAAAATTACTCGATCTCGCTCCATTTTCCAGCTAAATAGTCACGCGTCACTTCTGAATTCGCTATTTCGTAGGTACAAAATTCGATTCCTTTTTGACGATTGAGTATCTGAAATATCTTTTCAAACATGTGGTGAATATTTACTCGATTCGATGTTTGCTACTTTGCTAGGCAGAGAACATGGAAGAATACATAGAGAAACGTGTTTGTGCAAGAGGATCGGGTTATAGAATAGGGGAAGTAGATAGGCTGAGTAACTTGCCAGATTGCTTGCTATTTGAGATCCTAACGAATCTTCCCACGAAGGATGTGGTAAAGTTTAGTGTTTTATCAAGCCGATGGAGAAATCTCTGGAGATATGTACCTGGGTTGGATCCAACCCAAGAAATGGTAACCAACATAAGTGAAGCTCAAACACGTTATGACCTTGTGATGATAACTGTGAGTGTGATGATGATGATGATGATACCTGTAAGTGTGAGGAATCGGGCTTTAAAGCTTCTGTGAGTCGTGCATACAAAAGTTTAGGTTAAACAGGAATAACGATGTTAAGCTTGATATTACTCATTTCACCCGGTGGATCAACACTGTTGTTGAACGGAAAGTGAAACATCTCCATGTTTTGGACAGCATTAGGGGGTGGTTGCAAGATAAAGTGAGAATTTCCCCAACAGTTTACACGTGTGAGAGCTTGGTATCCTTAAACCTATATGACATATGGTTGCCTAACCCCGAGTCTGTGTCTTTACCTTTCCTCAAAGATATTGTTCTAGATACGGTCGAGTTTGAAGACGATCGGGCCTTCGAAATGCTGATCTCAGGTTGCCCAGTTCTCGAATGCTTATCTATTAGCGTGGACTATTACTCTAACAACGAGGTCATAGTGTGTTCTCAGTCTCTTTTGAGCTTCACTTATGTTGGTTACCATTTCTTGGGTTGGATTCAAAATCAAGAAGCTGTAATTGATGCTCCCAGGCTTGAGCGTGTGAGGCTAAGTGACCGTCACACTGCAAGTTTCATAGTAAAAAATCTTGGTTCCCTTGTTGAGGCGGATACTGATATTGTATTTAACTTGGGGTTCGACAAGAACTTTTGGTTTGAAGAGAAGCTCGATGCAAATGATCTACCAAAGAGAGAGATGATTCGTAATTTTCTTGTCGGGATATCTTGTGTCAAAGACATAAAAATTTCTTCGAGTACTCTTCAGGTAACCTATGTTGAATTCACTATTTGAGTCCTAACTGTATTATATAAGCTTTTCCTAATCTCTCCCTCTTTTCTTTTTTGTCCTAGCAGATCACATATGATTACTCACGATGTGAATCACTACCCTTATTCATAAACATATCTTTCTTGCGTGTCGAATTCTTTGACAACCCATGGGAAATCCTGCCAATCTTTCTTGAGAGCTGCCCGAATATAAAGTCTCTTACCTTGGTTAGGATTGGTTACTGAAACCATAATTAAACTTCCTTTCTTGCTAATGCAAATGGTGAAAGTTTCACATACTCAATATGCTTTGTCTTACTTGCAGGGATTTATTAAATCTCCAAGGGAGGAGGGAGTTGGTAGTATGGTACCTGCACCTCGGCGTTTTCTAGTATCTCTCGAGTATGTTAAGATTGTAAAGCCAATGGCAGCGGAAGCGACAGAGACCCAACTGAAGCTAGTGAGTTACTTTCTAGAGAACTCAACAATCCTCAAGAAACTCACACTATGCTTAGGTGATTTCGGTGACAAGGAAGAATCTGTCTTCATCAAGAAACTCCTGACCATACCAAGACTCTCTAGCTCATGCCAAGTTTACGTGCTATGATCCTTGGTAGTCTTCATCAATGTTGTCTTTAAGTACTTATGTTATGGTGAACTCTATGTTTCTTCTTCGTTTGTCATGAATTTGAACTATCGTAACTTGTAAAAGAATCATATGTTTGGTATGTTGTCAAGAATGGAATGGTAATACCACACACCTGGAGTGTGCGTATATATATACCAGAGTAACCAGACAGTGATGTTATCGTTTTGAGTATGAAACCCTCTCGTTGCCATAACTGGGCTAGGCCCAATAATATAGGCTTAGGCTTGTTAAAGCCCATCATCAATGTAACGACACGAACCTTTTTTTTTAACCAAAATCCGCCACCAAATTTTAAAAAATCAAAATCAAACCCTTAGAGGTCAAAGCGACGGCGACGGAGAGAGAGAGAAAGCAGAGAGACGGCGACATCTCCCCCTCCTTCGTCGCGATCGGAAACCCTGTGCCCTAATTTCACGAAAAACCTAACGGAAACCTTGTTTCGCCGCCGTTCTGCGTCGCCCGGCGGCGGAAATGTGCGCTTGGGGCGATGCGTTTAATCCTCACCGTCATGCTCTCTTTCATTCCTTACCTTTATTCCTCTGATCGTCCCTGCTCCTCCCCCGTCGCCGCTCGTCCTCGTATCCGTCGCTGCCGTCTCACTCGCTTCGCCACTGCATTGGTCGCCACCGCCGCTCTTCTCCTCGCCTCCGTCGCCTGGCTCTCTCTCGTCTTCTCCCCCGCCACTTCTCGTTGCTGGCACCTCCTTAGGGATTGGGAAGACGCACATATCTGGAACAGACGGTACCATCCCTATATCCCCAAAGAAATCTCTCCGCCGTCGATTCCATCTCTCTCCGATCATGACGACGACGAGATTCTCCTCCTCCAACCTAGGAATCGCAGTCTCTGGGAGTCGAATCGACTCGATCTGTCTCTGCATCACTTGATGTTCGGCATCGCTGGATCTTCACAGCTTTGGGAACGGCGCAAGGAGCTCGTGAGGCTATGGTGGAAGCCATCTCAGATGCGTGGTCACGTCTGGCTCGAGGAACAGGTTTCTCCTGAGGAAGGAGATGATTCTTCTCTTCCTCCGATCATCGTCTCTGAGGACTCTTCTCGATTTCGTTACACTAATCCCACTGGCCATCCTTCTGGGCTTCGAATCTCGCGCATTGCGATGGAGTCTTTCCGCCTCTCTCTCCCTGATGTCCGTTGGTTTATCCTCGGAGACGACGACACTATCTTCAATGTCCATAATCTTCTCGCCGTCTTGAGCAAGTACGATTCTTCGGAGATGGTTTATATCGGATCCCCCTCGGAGAGCCACTCTGCTAACTCATACTTCAGTCATAACATGGCTTTTGGAGGCGGTGGCATCGCCATTAGCTACCCTCTAGCGGAAGCTCTCTCTCGTATCCACGACGATTGTCTCGATAGATACCCGAAGCTATACGGTAGTGATGATCGTCTCCACGCCTGCATAACAGAGCTCGGAGTTCCTTTGTCTAAAGAGCCTGGCTTTCACCAGGTAACTTTGTCTCAATCATCACTGCCTTTTTATGATCTTTTTTGAATCATTGCTGATTTTCGCGATTCTGTGGCAGTGGGATATTAAGGGAGACGCTCATGGCCTCTTGTCTTCACATCCCATTGCACCATTTGTCTCGATTCATCACGTTGAAGCTGTGAATCCACTTTATCCGGGCTTATCTACGCTAGATAGTTTGAAACTCTTCACGAGAGCTATGAGTTTGGATCCCATGAGTGTTTTGCAACGGTCGATCTGCTACGATCATACTCAAAAGCTGACGTTTTCGATATCTCTTGGTTATGTTGTGCAAGTTTTCCCGAGTATCCTGCTACCACGGGATCTTGAGCGAGCTGAGCTTTCTTTCTCTGCTTGGAATGGGATAAGTCACCCGGGTGAGTTTGATCTTGACATAAAGCTTCCGGTTTCATCTCGTTGTAAGAAGCCTGTACTCTTCTTCTTGAAAGAGGTGGGAGGAGAAGGCAATGCTACACTCGGAACGTATGAGAGATCCTCGATAAAGGATGATTTGAAAAGGAAGCTTTTATGTTTTCCACGGTCTCCTCCTCTGCAAAAGGTGGAAAAGATACAGGTCCTTGGGTTTCCTCTGAGCAAAAGCTGGCACTTGGTGAGGGTTTGTATTGATCCTTTGAATCACCTACTGTTTCTGTCCTTTTCTTTAATATTCACAATTGATGATTCTTCCACTGCTCTGATCAGGCACCAAGACGGTTGTGTTGCAGAGCAACCCCAACTACTAATGAGCCTCTCAGATTAACAGTTGGGCAGTGTGGAAAAGTCATTTTGGGTTCCATGGTTAGTTCCCAATGAACGCTTATGGTGGATATTGGATCTAAAGCATATGATGTTGTTTCAGCTCTATCCTGTGGCTTTGTACATAGGTAAGATCCAGGACCTTAACTGTTGTCTGACCCTAGCATGCTAATGCCCAAATTTAATTCTTTTTTTCTTCCATTGTTACTCTTTTGTTTCTTCCTTTTTGTACATCTGAGATTTCAAGAACTTAACCCATCCTGTTGAGAATCGAGTGCATTTTGTACAACATTTGAGCTTAGCACACCATTAAAGCCACCTATCTATCTCAGTAGCTTGTTTTATCTTTTACGATAGCACTCTGTGTGAAAAAATGGGTCTTTTTCTCCCTATCTACTACATTGCGAAACTTTATAACCACTCAAATTTTTTTGTGGGTTTTACTTTGTTTAATAATCTAAAAAGGAAAAATATATCCACTAGTAGAGTGGTCCATGGGTTGTGGATTTAGTGCGGATTTAAGGAAATGTCTTTGGTTGGATAGATTTTTAAGATGTGTGTGTGTTCTAAAACTGCGGGTTTAATCAGAGTGTTGTGGTCTGAGTTGACTTGTCATGAACTCTGACACACTGGCAAGTGAGCCCAGGTTTGCTACTTGTTTTGTCGTAAACCCTGAAATTGACATTATGATGAGTAGAGCAATTGCATCATTGTGTCTATTTAAGGGGTCGTATAGTTATTGTAGTGATCACATGTTAGCCCAAAGTAAAAAAAAATGATGAGTTGGTGTAAATTCTGACCTTGTGAGGTATTTTATTGGCTTCCAATTTTCGGAGTCTGAGTTTTGAGAGGAATCTGGATTTAGTGGGTGTGTGGATATATCTCCGTTTATAACTAATTTTGGTTTCTGACTCGTGAAATGATGTTGACTTTTTTTATTTGGTAAGTCCTCGTATGACACAAGTTGGGAAAGTAAACGAGTTTGACAAGTTGCGTTCTAATGAGATCAGGTTTGTATTGGTGGGGAGAGATGTTGTTTTGGAATAAACCAATTTATTTGTTGGTTAAAAAGATTAAGAGAAAAAAAATGGTTAATGCTGTAAATTAAACGCCCCAAGATCTAAGAGAAAAGGAATGAAGACGGTTAGAGAGATTCATTCAGAAATCAAGCAACTCACTCCGCGAGCATGTTCTTACCACCTCTTTTTTTTTTTTATTATGGTACACTTGTCTTTTCGTTTTAATTAAAGTTATAAATTGAATATTAATTTAAGTTTAAAATCATAAATAAATAGAAAAAAGAACATATCACATGTAATAAGTAATAAATAAGTGAGAAAAGGGGTTAAGAGGAGAGAGCATGTGAAAGTTGGGAGGGAAGAAGAAGAGAATACAGCTGTTTCCGCCGCTCTCTCTCTTTCTTTCCCCTTCAAGAAAGTTCTCCACTTCCACCGCCCATCTTCTCTCTTCATTCCTTCTTCTTCCTCTCTCTCTCTCTATCTTTTAAGTTGTTTAATCCTTTTTTTCTCTATTATTATTAGCATCTTTTACATATTATAACTCAGTTGTTCTCCTTAACATTCACGATTAGGTATAATCATGAGTAGTTTACACTCCTAGCACACATTTGAGTTTTAGTTTTACAAAATATAAACTTTTTATGGGGTATTTTGGACAAAACCGTAGACAAAAATGTGTCATATTTAAAAAGTGTATGTTAGTGTAACTAGAGTTTAAAAGTGCATATGATGTAATATATTTTCAATATATAATGAGTTTGACTAATACATATATTAGCTGAATAGTAATATAGCGAGATAGTTAAATAACAAAATAATAAAATCAATAAGATGATAACAAATATTAGATTGAGTAAATTTAAAACGCCAAAAATAACTATTTATTAAATTAATAAAATTTTGTATAAGCTTGTATAAATTTAAAACATGTAGAATAAATTGGATAATAATTTGTTAAATCTTATTTTTATAAGTATGTACGTGCTTATTATCATGAATTAATGGTATGTAGTCGACGCAAAACATATCAATTGAGCCTAATATTTGTTTTCTCTTTTAGAGAACTAAACATGATTTATGCGTTAATTAGAAATAATTAGTCAATTTCAAATATGCAAAACAGATTAGAAATAGTTTGTTAATTTTCATTTTTTATCATTATATATTTATTACGTTTTCAAAACATGAAAACATAAACAAATTACATATTATTCGAGTCTAATATTTCTTTTTCTTTTTTTAGAGAACTAAAAACCAGCGGTGTATATATGTATAGCGCGATTTTGGTAATGAAAATGAAATGTGTTGTATAACAAACAGTTATAATTTATGTAGGTGAGGCTATTTAAGAGTGTGTATAATGTCGACAGTGTATGTGTCTGCGTCGATCGTCTTCAGTTTGCAGCTAATCTTAGATATGAAGGCTATTTAATTCTCCGCTCATTTACTTTATCACTCCTTTATCTATCTTTCACCACAACTTTACTATCTCAAATGTACTTTGTTCTCATTATTTTACCTAACTGTTGTTCCTCGGTCTCTTTATTTAGATTGTAATATTGTGTTTTTTTGTCTAAAAATCTGGTAGTTGCCACTACGAAAATCTGGTAAATTATTAACTTTCATTAAAATATATTAGTTCAGTAGAAAAATTGAAAAAAATGATTTTTATCTGATTATTTTAAGATTGACACAAATAAATATCCATTTTTAAGTATATTCAGAGAAATGTTGAAAAAGGTATATATTCAGAGAAAATAGTAAATGGATTCATAGATTTACTGATTTGACTAGCTGTACAGTCCAAATTTGATAACACTGTATTTGTACATAGTTACACATCTATGCATGCATTATGAATAATTTCTAATCAAAATAGTAAATAGAAACAGAAATTCTGATTATTTTCTTTTTATAATTTTTCTTACTATGGCATTGGATTGGATTTACTTGTTTTTTTGTTTTTAATTATTTCATCAACTATTGTGTGGCCTAATTTTTATTTTTTCTTACATCAAATATTGTTTGGCCTAGTTTTTAATTTTTCTTACATCAACTATTGTTTGGTCTGTTTCTATAACAATATTAACACAACAATAAAAAAATAAAAAAGCAAAGAGAGAGACTGTTGAATTGGAGAGGAAAGATTGTGGGGGAAAGATGTCAAGGCTGGTCCAGCTCAAATCGGGTAAAACTATGAAAATTCCAGTTTTGTCCTTCCCTCCGGAAATCTGATTGTCACATACCCTACCAATCAGACAACGCCACGTGGACATCAAAGACATGATGGTGGGAGAGGACAACAACATGGGAGGCACATGATTTTGTGTTTATTTTAATAATAATTCCAATTTTAACCCCAAAAAAAGAAGGAAAAAAAGATAAAAATGAATCGGATCACTGGCAATGAGATGTTTGCGGATCCAAAATTAACTTTTAAAGCCCTCTTTCCTTTTTAATTAATAATAATAATAATAATAATAATTCACATAAATTTAATGTAATAAAAAATAAGTGGACCCTTAAAGAAAAAAAAAGGGGGTGATGAAAAGTGGGTTTAACAATTATTTGCTGCAAAGTTAGAAGAGGCTCAGCTTTATTAACTTCTCTTTGCTTTCATTCTCTCTATCTATCATCATCATCCTCGTAATCCTCATCTCTCTTTCTAACACCTACTTGCAGTAAAAAAAAAGGCTGCATCTTTCTTTTCTTTCTTCATCAATGGTTTTATGAGGAAACTGTGAGCTACAGATAGAGAGATAGAGAGAGAGAGATAGAGAGGGAGAGTGTGTGTGTGTGTCTAGAATAAAAGAGTGGTGGTGGTGGATTGAAATCAAGATTGGTGAAATCAAGAGATGGAGCAAGGAGGAGGAGGAGAAGTTGGTGGTGGTGGTGGTGGTAATGAAGTGGTGGAGGAAGCTTCACCGATCAGCTCAAGACCTCCGGCGAATTTGGAAGAGCTGATGAGATTCTCAGCGGCGGCGGATGACGGTGGAGGATTGGGAGGAGGAGGTGGAGGAAGCTCGTCTTCTTCATCGGGAAATAGATGGCCCAGAGAAGAAACTCTTGCTCTTCTCAGGATCCGATCTGATATGGATTCTACTTTCCGTGACGCCACTCTCAAAGCTCCTCTCTGGGAACACGTTTCCAGGTTTCTCTCTCTCTTTCTCTTCTCCATTACAATCCTTCTTCTTCTTGATTCTCATCAATGGTGTTTTCTTGAGATAGAGATCCATTTGCATGTGTTTCCAACGCTTACTTTTTTCCTATTTTATTTTTAATTATTTACATAAATACTAATATATTCGGGATCAAGCATCTTCACCATCCCCAAGAAAATTTTATTAAAAAAAAACTCTTTGTTTATTACAGAAGTAGCTCATGAGTTTCTGTGACGTTTTCGATTTTGTAAATCCCAAGACTCTCTTCTAAAATTTTAATTTTTTAAAATAATTTCGATCGAACAGTACCCATGAATTTGAAGCATATAGAATCTGAATTTTGGATGTGTTTTTGAATGTGGCCAAAAAAAAAAAAATACAGGAAGCTAATGGAGCTTGGTTACAAAAGAAGTGCTAAGAAATGCAAAGAGAAATTCGAAAACGTTCAGAAATACTACAAACGCACTAAAGAAACTCGCGGTGGTCGCCATGATGGTAAAGCTTACAAGTTCTTCTCTCAGCTCGAAGCTCTCAACACTACTCCTCCTCCTCTTCCTCCTCCTCCTCCTCCTTCTTCTTCCCTCGACGTCGCTCCTCTCTCCGTCGCCAATCCAATCCAACCGCAATCTCAATTCCCAGTCTTCCCTCTACCGCAAACGCAACCGCAACCGTCTCAACCGCATCTCACACACACAGTCTCCTTCACCACTCCTCCACCTCCTCTTCCTCCTCCTCCAATGGGTCCCACTTTTCCCGGTGTTACCTTTTCATCTCACAGCTCATCGACGGCGTCAGGAATGGGGTCTGATGATGACGACGATATGGACTTGGATGAAGCGGGTCCAAGCAGCCGCAAACGCAAACGCGGAAACCGCGGTGGTGGTGAAGGCGGCAAGATGATGGAACTATTCGAAGGTTTGGTGAGACAAGTGATGGAGAAGCAAGCGGCGATGCAAAGAAGCTTTCTTGACGCGCTTGAGAAGAGAGAACAAGAACGTCTACAACGTGAAGAAGCTTGGAAACGCCAAGAAATGTCTAGATTAGCTCGAGAGCACGAGGTCATGTCTCAAGAACGAGCCGCGTCTGCGTCTCGTGACGCAGCGATCATCTCACTAATCCAGAAAATCACTGGCCACACCATTCAGCTACCTCCTTCTTTATCATCATCACAACCGCCTCAACCGCCGCATCAACCGCCGCCACCCGCAGCTAAACGTGTAGAACCGCCACAAACAACAACAACTCAATCGCAATCACAACCAATAATGGCGATTCCACAACAACAGATTCTTCCTCCTCCTCATCCTCCTGCTCCTCCTCCTGCTCCTCATCAACAACAAGAGATGATTATGAGCCCGGAACAATCATCACCATCGTCATCACGGTGGCCAAAGGCGGAGATTCTTGCGCTTATAAACTTGAGAAGCGGAATGGAACCAAGGTACCAAGATAATGTACCCAAAGGACTTTTATGGGAAGAGATCTCAGCTTCAATGAAGAGAATGGGATACAACAGAAACGCAAAGAGATGCAAAGAGAAATGGGAGAACATAAACAAATACTACAAGAAAGTTAAAGAAAGCAACAAGAAACGGCCTCAAGATGCTAAGACCTGTCCTTACTTTCACCGCCTCGATCTTCTTTACCGCAACAAAGTACTCGGTAATGGTAGTGGTTCTAGCACTTCTGGTCTACCTCAAGAACAAACATCAACAGTACAAAAGCAGAGTCCGGTCTCTAAGCCGCCACAAGAAGGAGTTGTTAACATTCATCAACCTCATGGTTCGGCTTCAAGTGAGGAAGAAGAGCGGATAGAGGAAAGTCTACAAGGAACAGAAAAGGTAAAAACTTTGACTTTTTTTTTTAATTCTCAAAATGTGCATTTGTTTGTGTTCATTCATAACTAAAATCTTGATTTTGTTGGAATTGAAAAGCCAGAAGACATTGTGATGAGAGAGCTGATGCAACAACAACAGCAACAACAAGAATCAATGATAGGTGAGTATGAAAAGATTGAAGAGTCTCACAATTATAATAACATGGAGGAAGATGAAGAGGAGCTTGATGAAGAAGAATTAGACGAGGATGAGAAGTCCGCCGCTTATGAGATTGCGTTTCAGAGCCCTGCAAACAGAGGAGGCAATGGCCACACAGAGCCACCATTCTTGACAATGGTTCAGTAAATCAAGAATCACTGTTTTCAAAATCGTCACCGTCCCAAGAAAATGTACTTATGTGTGCATAGTTTCTAAACAACACACAAACACACACATTTCTGACACCAAAAAACTGAAAATCAAGGTCTCATCAATCTTGATATTTTCAGTGAAATACAATTCTTTTTTTTTCTTCCATTTTTCACATTCTTTCCCTTTGTTCCTTTCTTTCTCACAGTCTCTTGTTTGTTTCTCTGTTCATTGTTTTCTTCTTCAACACCATTGTTCATCACACATTCACATGAACAAAAACTCTTAGCTAAAAGGTCTTTTAGATTGTTTGGAGTTGTAATTCATCAACAAAGTCTCATACTTTTTTTCTTTTCTTCTTAAAACATTTGTTGATTGGTTAATTGGGGAATAAAGAGTCTTTTTTCTTTCTTTCTTGAGGTAATAAGAATGATTCAGTTGTATCAGTCAAAGGTGAAGAAGACTTATGAAACAATAGAAACATATTTGAAATTGATAGATGAGAAAAGATTGGCTTATTCTTTTTTACTCAAAGATCCCAAAAAGATGAGAAGAGACTCACTCAAAGCCATAGTTTCTGAGAGAGGAGAGGAGAAGAGAAGAAAGAATCTGTGTTTTATGTTTTCATCCTTTTTTTGCGGCGCCCACAAAGACACAATCCGATAAGCCATTATTCATTTGTGTCACGATCAGTTAAACAGAGTCACTCAAAGTTTTGTTCTTTTGTTTCAACTTTCTCCTTTTTTATTTTATTTTTGCTTATAATCAAAAGCATGTGCAGCTTTTGTACTTACAACGACAAGACTCGTGCCACTCTCATTGTTTCATCTTCTGTTTCTCTTTTGCTTTTTAATACCTTCAAAAACTGTTTTCAGAATATATTGATTTACTGCAAAACTAATCATCTATATCAAAAAATGGTTATTTTTGAATTGAGAGAATATACAAACATGGATTGAGACAGCATGATCACACCTAAAAAAAAGATAAAAATTAAAAGAAAAGATTCTTCTGTATCTTTTTTGATAGAGAGAGTAATAATGGAGGAAATGGGTACAGGTAAGAAAGAGTAAGTACCACTTTGATTGCCAACTTGCTTTCACCTCTTTGTGTCTTACACAGCTGCCCCAACGTGCAATCATTTATATATTTATATAAATATATAAAAAAATGTATGTATTTATATAAAAATGTATGTATCTAATAATACATATATTGCAATGTAATGCATTGTGTATAAAATACACCAACGAGCCTGTCCTACCCATGTGCATTTGTTGTTTTCTTTATTAATTAGACTTTCTAACTCTCTATTTTTTTGTTTTGTTTAATTACGTATGTTGTAGGTAAACCAAAAAAATACCCAACATGTAATCAACAATTTCACATGTTGATCCTACCATAAACCCAAAGTTTAAGATCTGTGTTTAAGTCACTCACATGTAGTTTCCTTTTTGATTAGGCTGCCTACTCTTTTCTTGTCTCCAAATCCATAAGGTTCTCTTTTCTTTTGTTTGTGTTTTTTTTTCTTATGAATAGACTAATAATATCTTCATAATATATAAACCCAATGTCGGTAGCTAAACCAACCAACTAGCATGCTCTACTCCAGAGTGCTACAAACCTAAACCCAAAACCTTGGAGTGAACCAAACAAAATTATTATTGTCTTTGAGGTTATTGATTGGGAACCTTGACGAGGAAGCTACCTTTCTTCAAATTAGTGTCAAGTTACAAGCACAGAGACAAAGATATACAAATCTTTCAACGACCATAACTGATAATTAGAAACCCAACAAATGTTAGTCGAAAAAATTACAAAACACAATCCAATCCATCATCTATCAACTCCCACTTTCATTTACACAAAAAAGGGCGTTCCCTGTTTTTTTTTTCCAAAACGTTAGGTCACTTTTGCCCCAAGAAAACAAAAATTTATCACGTAAAAATATATAATGAGGGAGAAAATTCCAAAGTTGGGAACTATGAAGCTGTAGTTATATGAGTTAAGAAGTTTTAGTCGAGTTCTGCTTTGCTTTTACTTCTCTTCATCTTAGCCTTGAACCTCGACTTCACCATCAATGTCTCTACTGTGTTTATGAAGTTTCCAATGGCCATCACAACCAGAAGAATGCCACAAATCAATACCTGTCCCCAGCATTCACGTTATCATCAGACAAACAAACCATTGTGGTAAAAATACTTTCCACGCCTATTTAAGATAAGTTCCTTGCTTGGAAATGGGAAGTAAGACAATATCGGTTATATCGACAAAATTTCTTCTTTTTCTTTTTGTTAAATTGGTGCGTGAATACGCCAGTGAGGATAATTCACAAAATGCTGTTGGAAGAGAGACTACAATACCTGCCATTCGGCGACTACCCCAGTTAAAGCTGTCCTGAGCAACTGCAGTCCAACGTATGCTTCAAAGCCCTGAGTTTGCCAAAGTATAACACAACAATGTTTAACTACGATACGACAAGCAAGATTATGAACTTAGTCTGTCTGAAGTTTCCTTTGGATCGATGCCTCGATGTGGATCGATGCCTCGATGGGGAGTGAAAAAAGTATCTTTTACTGTTTAGACCATCTTTACAAGTCTGAGGAAAATTATGAAGTTTGTTTACTTTATCAAATATCTTCAAAGAGATATAAGTTTCAATATTTCCTTATGGAAGTCATGTATACGACTAATAACTACACATCAGCAGCTAAACCACACAAGCCTAGTCTATGGTGCAAGAAACATGAAGCTTTAGTATAACCTAAGTGTGGAACAAAAGTAGAACTGTTACCTGTAAAGTGAACAAAATAGGACATAATAACCATAATTGCCCATCTACTCCAGACGTTTCTCCCCACACGACATCCATCCTCTTAGCCTGACAATGACCACAACGCACATTTTTTACAGCCAGTTTCATAGAGGCGGATATGAACTGGACCAGAGAGAAGTGCAAATAGTATTGTACCTTTCCTAGTGCAATGCGAGTGTATAATCTTTGGCGCTGATATCTATTTTGCAGAAGCATTGCAACACCTTGCATCATAGCCCATTGAAGGAAAAGACGGACTCCTTTCTGCAGTATATTTTAGAATGATCCATAGCATTTTTCTTGGCAAACTTTTACGCTATATATATGATAATAACCAATACCTGCTTCTGAACACAGTTTGGTTGACCTTTGATTTCCCAAGTGAGACTGACAAGGGCCATAGCCATGGCACAATAATGATGGTAAAGCCACCTGCAAAAGCATATCAGTTCAGAGGTTTAACTCATCTCCAACTCACGGTAGGATAAATATGTTGATAAGACCACCAGATCAAACCAGTCTAAAATAACATGATTCCCTTCATATAAAATAATCAAAATCATCAACCAACTGAGGATTTTATGCGAGACAAAAGTTTCTCATAATCGTCCAAATGATATAAAGATCCAATTTCTACTCGACAAGAACAATAAGCTACCTATTGATATTCCTATCATCCACTTAATTCTAATGCCCCTCATTCAGCAGTGCGATCAATATAGGCTTGGAGGTGTACCAAAACCAGAGGCAAAACACAAATGGTAGCAAAAAATTGACCAGCGAAAACTAATTTGCTGAGTTGCTTGCAGTCAAGCTAACACCCTAAAGTTTACAGTAATTATTCATAGGCAGTCAATAGACAAAAAGGAGAGTTAGCACTAGCAGCACAAAGAATCTAACTAACGGAAGTTAACATCACTCTAAAAATGATCTTATCTACCTAAATCCATGTCCTGTGGTTTTCATTTCAGCAACAGCATAAGACATGTAAAAACTTCGGATACTTCAAATTTAAAACACTGGATAACAATAGCTAACCCGCAACTTAAGGGATCAAAACAATCATAATCAACTAAGGAAGGCTACGATAAGAGTACCATGAACGGATATCACTCCCATTGGCTCTCAAAATGTTCTCTCGCATAACCAAACCAGCATAAAGGAACAGAAGCCAAGCCTGATAAAAGGAAGTTCACATGTTAAATACAAGAACCTGAAACAGGTTCGTGTCGTTACATTGATGAAACGCAAAGTAATTCAAATCAACACCACTTAGTGTACCTCGTAGAGCTGAACAGGGAACGCAGGCAAACATCCATACCACACATAAGATCTTAGGGTCAGAAGTATTGCAGGAAAAACAAGAAAAAGAAGAGCTGTTCTATCCTGTGTCAATACAAAGATGATCAATTTCACGTTATTGGAGACAGATCAACACTAATAGGAGGGTGAAAAAAAATACTAACTCTGTAGCTATTGTATTCTTCTTTGACTTTAAGCTGTATATCTTTTCGTGAGGCACGAACATTCACAGGCCCCAAAAACATTCTTACGAAGCGTCCTGAAGAGAAGTAAACAAAACTCAAAACAGTGAAGACGCGAGTCTAATCATATACAATAGATCAAAATCACAATATTGAATCTGAGAGAGAAACCTTGGGGTTTGAAGGGAAGAAAAGAAGAAGTGTCTCCATCGGCAAGCAAGCATCTAGCTCGTTGCAGATCCTCCTCCAGCTGCAGCAAGACGGGGAACAAAAAATCATAATTTAAGAATCGAGAAACGAAAGAGAGATCGAAAAAGAGAGAAGAAGAATGCCTTGTCGAAAAGCTTGGGATCGAGATGCTTGTCGGAGACAAGAGTGGAGTGGAGGCGGCGGATTGATGCATCGACGACGGAGGATCTCTGGCGAAGAGAGAGCTCTTCCTGGGAAGAAGCAGAAACGAAGGAGGTGGCAGAGTCGTGGAGCTCTTTAACCTGGTCCACGATCCGTCTCACTTCTTCTTCAACCTCCATGAGTGTCGATTCCGAAAGACGAGATTGGACTTTTGTGCGTCCGAATGAGAGATGAGGATTCGAGAAAGCCCACAAAGGAAAGGAAGGATTTTGTAGAGACGAGAGGAAGAAGAAGAAGAAGAAGAAAAGGTTGGAGTTTGTTTTGGCATGTCTCGAATTGACGAGGTCCTTAATCGTAAATACAGATCAAATCGCACGCATCTATCCTCGTGCTCTTCCTAAATCTTGATTTGAAAACAAAATATTTTTTAAAAAATCATATAAAAAACGACACTTTTCTAAATTCATGTCGGCAAAATGGTGCAGTGTCATAGAGAATCCATAAATTTCCAACTTTTTTTTAATAAATGGTGTTTTTTTGTGTATCATTAAACATTTCATCCATTAGTACAATTATTGAAAAATCTAAAACAATCTAAAACTTGCTAAGATGCAATCTCATGCTCTTCCAAAACCAACCATATCGCTCTCTAAGCTTCATTTTACCTTTTGTTTTTTGTTTAACAAAAATTTCCGTAGCTTAAATATAATAAAATAGTGGAATTCTGCCAATGTGAATATCTGTGTTTGGCTGAGCTTAAACCTAAATGCAAAATACCTGTTTTTTTGTTCATTTTGCTTTTTATTAATAAAATTGTATTTTGGTCAGCTTTAATCTAACACTACAAAAAAATATGTCGAAAACCTGTGAAATTTATCATTATAAAAAACTATCTTTTTTTACCAAATTCATACGAAACTTTGTCATAGGAAATCAGCCGTCGGAAATTATAAAAAGTAAAAAAATTGTAGGAAATTTTCAACAAAAATGTTAGTAGGAATTCGACGGAAATTTTGATAAGATTTTGGTTAAAAATTTACTACCAATTTACTACCATTTTTTTCGATTTGTGTTCCTTTCAATTTCCTACGAATATTACCTATATATTTTCTACGAATTTTCTACTAATCTTTCCTACCAATTTTCTACTAATCTTTCCTACCAATTCTCTACTAATACAATAAAAATAATTTAAAAAAAAACAGAATTAACAGCAGAAATTTAATTTAAATTAAAATATGAATTAAAATTAAATTTGATAAATAAAATATATAAAACAAAATATGTCCATTAATTAGAGAGAAGGTGAATACTCTTATTTATAGTGCAGTTTCTTCATCTAAAATTATCTTAGATGTTCGATGTAGGACAAACCAAAATACATATTTTTCTATAAAATTTTATGATTTTTCTACAAACAATATTTCATAGGAAATCCGTAGAAAATTTTAATTTTGATCTATTTATGGTGTAACTTCTTCGTCAAACAATATTTTATAGAAAATTCGTTGAAAAATTTCCTATGAATTTTCCACTAGCAGAACAGTCAATTGGGTCCTACCATTTTTCTACTAAATTTTGATCGAATTTTATACGAATATAAATTTGGTAAGTTATTGGTTGGATATATTCTACCATTTTTTGACATTTTTTCATGTATAAAATTGGTTATGAATTTTTTTATCATTTTTATTTTTTTGTCATAGTTGCATAAAATATTGGTTAAAAATATTCCAACCAAATATTTTCGTAAGATTTTTCATTGGAATAAGCATGTTTTGTTGTAGTGTAAATGCAACTTACTTAATTTACACTTTTTCCCAACTATCATGGCTCTTTTGATTCACATACGAATATAAGATTATAGACGAATTTCAAAAAGTCACACTTTTAACGATTGTTTAAACACCATTGTTTGTTTGTTGCCGACTTTGATCTCAAGTTCACAATCTTCACGTATGTTTAGCCTTTAGGAGAATTACATTAGGTGCAATTTGACGAAGAAACAAGTAATTAATAAGTTGGTCGGATGGATTGGGACGTGATGGATGAGACAGTAAATGTTTAAAAGATCCTAGACGAGATATTGAAAGAATTTTATTTTTTCATAGCGTTTCTAGCTTCATGCAATTATTATAAGAGTATAGTACATTTAATTTGTGTATGAAAGATTTCATGTTATAACATTATTAAAAAAAAAGGAAAGAATTCATGCTCATATATATTCAAATGATTAAACTCCAAGACTTAGGAAAGGTGTCAGTTCTTTAAACAACCTTATATGCTATATCTTGAAAATTGGTTATATCAAAGAGTTGAAGTAGAATTAGACTTCAGCCATTAGCAGAACTCAAAATTTTTGCGAATCTCATTGATAGCATTATGAGAACATTGATGACCATAACATTTTATCACTTTCTGATTCTCGTCTCTGATGCTTTCTTTCTTTTTGTTGTCGCTACATTACATTGCTTTTTTTTTCTTTCTAGTCTAGTTGTTACATGGCCACTTTTTAAATCTAACTACGAAGGTCAGAGTAGTTTAGTAGCTTTTAATAATTTCCGTTTCTTGGTGTTGGTTTGATGTCTCTTTTAGCTCTTAAGGTTTAGAAAAATTGATTACTTTTTTTCTTTTGAGCTTGAATTGAATGTTCTGTTAGCAGTGTTGTATATATAAAGTTTTTGTAATTCTAAAGTGACATTTTTTTTGTCAACAATCTAAGCACCTACAACGGTTCGATAAATCAATGGTACCGAATTTACATAGATGATATCTTGTGGGTAGATACAATCACTTCTTATTAGGTGGTTTACCTTGGAGTTCTTTTTGCATGGGATATGTGATAACAGGAAGAAATCAAATTTGTCCTTCATTTTCCCAATTTCTTCCAAATAAAGAGTAAAAGTTGGCCATTCTTCGGGTGTAAACACCATCTTTACCAACTCTGAACAGTCCGTTGCAAAAGTTGTTGTCATTCTCTGATTCTCAAGCATACAATGCATATCCCAAATTAAATTGAGCTTCTGTTTCCGCATGCAGTGGTGTAAGACTGTGGCTTATATTCTGAGCACCCATAACTTTTTCCGTAGCTTCTTCATGGAAGTAATATCATCTTAGTCTCGTTTTTGTATCCGTATCTTTCTACGAGCCACCAATATAACACCACCATCCACCATATTCTATGGGTATAGGCAATGTCGTTGACGTACCATTTCCATTGGATGATGGGTCCTGGTCAGGCCTTTGGGCCTCCTCCCAGAAAGTTGCTTCTGCTTCCGTCATTTTTAAAGTTATCTGTGGATCTATAATCCTATTTGAATACACTTTTGTGTTCCACGCCTTTTAAATATACCATGCAATCTAGGAGAATTATATATTTTTTTTATTCCGTTGGGGAGTCTCCAAAACAAATGATCTCAATTCGAGAAAACTGATGTTTCTGGGAAAATCCCTGAAGGTGTTGGTATTCGGGATAATACCCATGTTTGTAATGCTTGGGAACATTCAAACAAAGCATGACTAATTGTTTCTTTATCCGTTCCACACCGTGCACACTCTGTATCACATTGTAATCTACAAGATCATAGTTTATTCGAGATTGGGAGGCATCTTGATATTGTTTGCCAAATAAAATGTTTTAACTTCGGTGAACATTTCAATTTCTAAGCTTATGTTTGAAGAACCTGTACATCTGGGCCAAAAGTGACATATTTTTTTCAGTAATAAAAATTCTGTAAGCCATATTATTCATAAGCAAATAGAACATGTCTATGTTTTATGAGAAAAGAATATGATTCACGCCTTCTAAAAATCAATTGAAGGAATGCAGCTATAAACGAAGCTATGACGTTTGGTCAAGATTCTATAAAACAAAGAATGAGAAATTCCGTGTTGAGTACGTTACTACTGAAATCACAACATGGAAATGGTTGGAGAAAATAGCACAAGAAAAAAAATGCTAATTTTCGGTGTAAGACCCAAAAAAAACCCTCTAAAATGTTGTCTTCTCTTGTATCTTTCCAATTTGTTTCGACAAACCAAATCCCTTGTATTTTCACAATTAATGATAAAAAAATTTCTTTAACAAACAAACAAACACAAAGATGAGAAAACAGAGGATGGAGAAGATTTGAGTAAAGAGTCAAAAAAAAGGTTGAAACTAGCTTAAGAAGAAGGACCGGTCCAATATGATTTAACAGCTAGAAGGATCTTCTCAGGGATAAAAGGACCTTTCTCATGATCCAAAATCCGACTTGTCCATTTCATTCCATTGGTTATGCTTTGTATCTTCGTCAACATTTCGACTGTGTCCCTAAACACCACTGTTCCTTCGGGTCTTAGTATTCTATCCATCTCAAGTAGTATCAACGTCACATCACACCTTCCATTAACCAACAATAACATTATAAGTCACGTTTGTGAGACTGCATACACATAGACAACAAATGCACATCTCCGTTGTTTCAAACATAATTTCATATTTGCGATCACATGGAGAAACATCTTTTATGAAAAGTGTTACATTCTTTTTAAATATGGACATTTTCCATTATAAGTAAGTGTATGAATCTACAATGTTTTAACAAAAACTCAAAATATCAAAAGAATATGCATGATTTTGTTAAAAACAGTTTAAAACATACTTTTTGTCAAAAAAAAAAAATTGGGGTCACAGAGATATACATAAAAAGTAGGGGTTTTTGCTAAAAATAATATAAAACTTGATTTTGAATATAAAAGTAGACCCTTGAAAAAACATTTGGCAGAAATAATTTAAATGGGTAGTGAAAAAACCATTTTATCTTGTATGAGTAAACAAAAAAGGATGTCCTAATTACCGTTTACACCCTGATGAAGTCTACTAAAGAGAAAAAGAAGTCTAATAGTAGACTTCTTTTATCGAAATGAAGCATTTATGAGTCACTCCTCTAATACTTTTTTAAATCGCAAATGCAAACACCAACGCAAAGAAAATATTCTCCTATTTGTGTTTGAAGTATTTTAATTAATAATGCTTAAATTTCTTAAGCTTGTCTATTTAATTAGGTAAAATATATAGTTAAATGCAAGTAAAGTTTAGTGTAATTGGTGTTTACCTGTTTTCGTAAATGCTGAACAATCCACCAGCATGAATAAGATCATAAGTTCTTGGATACGTAGAGAATCCTTCACACCAATCTTGATATGTCCCTATAAATCCCCTCTCGTAAATCGCCCCTAATGTTTGCTTCTCCGCATCCATAGGCACCACGTTCATAACCCAAGATGGATATTTCATCATTGCCGCTGCAAATCCTCCAAGATATGCATTCATGTCCATAATGTTCCTGAATCTTCCACGTGGAAGCTCAGACATTATCTGTGTGTAATATGCTATTCTCTCCTTCCACACCTCATTATCTTCTCTGAATTTCTCAGCGTTAATATCTGGAATTGTCCCCCGGATAATCCTAGGTGGAACCGCAAATGCTCGGTCTGGCCAATCCTCCAACGCACCTCCAGCGAATTCCTCTGGACTATTTGCTTCTGGTAATGGTGTTACACAAGATTCCAAGTCTTTGTACCTATCAAAGATACATCAAGTTTCATGGTCTAGAGTGTCTAAAATAATATATAAAAAAAGAATAAGTCTATCCACCTATTGTCAATTGGTTTGAATCAGAATTCTTAAGAATATGGGAAGTGTTTAGATTGTTACCAAGCAAAATCGGGTTGATCTGATTTGCATATAGGAGGAGATTTATGACGTCGTTTGAGTTTCTTACACTCAATGTGATTAATTGGCTTTTGCCAGATTGATAAATCACCCTTCTCTGTGACTTTCTTCCAACAAAGACTTCTTGCTGCATCTTCTATTGAATCTTGCTCTTGCTTCAAATCCTCTTGGGATCTTTCCCAGCCTTTCCAGTGTTTCTTCCAGTTAATCGGTGGGCCCGAAAGAATCCAATAACCACCCGGTCTTAAAACCCGGTCCACTTCGGTCAAGTACAAACCATCTACACACAGCTAATTTTTTCTTGGTTAAGTTCCCACAACAATCAAGAAAGCTGAACAAAAAAAAATCAAGAAAAATTTCATTACCGTTTTGAAACCAAGGAATCAAACAACGAGAACAGTGAGCAAGATCAAAAGCTCTAGCTGGATAAGGAAGCCTTATTGATCCCATTATCCCGATAATCGCAGGAACTCCACGTTCTAAAGCAAACTGGACTTGAGCTTCGTGAGTGTCTCTTGGTGCAAAAGACATAGCAATGATATCCCTCTTCAACAAGTAAGCACCAAAACTAGCAACCTATAAAACCAACAAAACCGAATCAATTAAAAACAAGTCAAAGATTGATGCACTGTGGATGCCTTAAGTGGCAAGAATATTCTGTTTTTCTCAGATTTTGATGCCTTAAGTGGCAAGAATACCCGGTTTTTCACAGATCCCGAGATTCATCTGGATTTCAGTCAATAAAAGAGGAAAGAAAAAGATCGATGCATCTAATAATGTAGTAAAAATTTCTATGGAAACTTACTCCACATCCTGTATCAATAGCAGTTCTAATGGCTCCATCAGTAAGAGGGATGAGCCTAGAAATGTCATCAATGTAAGCATCAGCTCCACGAGGAAACCCTGTTCCACCACCAGGGAATCTGAATTTTTCTCCTTCTACTTGAATCCAATTCTGGATTGCTTTCTCGATACTTAGCTCCTTGTGTGGGATGTTGTCGTACCAAGCATAGTCTCTGCTCTGAGGCCATTTGAATGGGATCTTGTAGTTTGGTGGAGGAGGAATCAAGCAATAGAGAAGCTCATCTTTCGAAGGACAATGTCTCTCTCTGTATTTCATCATGTTCCTATCGAATCTTCTCCCTCTCTCTCGATCTTCACATGGAGTGTACTCGCTAAGAGACATGTCACATGGCTCGAAATACTTTACGGTTTGGTTCGGTACCTTGAGCTCGAGTTTGTGATGGCTTTCGAAATCTAACTCAACTGGTTCTGAGGATGAAGAAGAGGAGGACAAAGTGGAAGAAAGGAGTCCCTCATCATCATCAGAAGAAGAAAGTTTTGTCTGAGTCTTTGTTTCATCACATCCTATTCTTGAGTAAACCTCAGAGGAAGAAGATGGGACAGTGTTGATTTGCCAAGCTCCAAGAACATAAAACAAAATGCAGAGTCCACTTACACAGAGAATCCAAATGAGTCTTTTTCTCTTTACTTCTGCGTGGTGATGACTACTGTTCTCTTTCGCCATTTCTTGAAAGTCTTGTTTCTGTAGAGAGATGAGCCAAAAGACTTGCAACTTTTATCTGATTTTAGTAAAACTAAAAGCTAAATGCTTTGTAAAATTTTTCCTAAAAAAATGTACGAAAGGTTATAGTGGAGCTCGGAACACGAGGATAAGGGATCCACCATCGAAGAAAAAGAGTGATAGAGAAACAAATTTGTCTGAGTTTTTTTGTATAAAAAAGGACAATTGTCTCTATTCTTTAGCAAAAAGCCAAGAACCACACTTATTAGATGTGGTTAAAAGAGAGGGAAAATTAATAAAAACTATAAAGTTGAGATAAAGTTGGAGGCTGACTAGCCTGATTTTTCGTTTTGCCATGCATACACATACACACACTACTTCCTTGTCGTTTAAAAGAAAATAAAATACACAAAAGTATAGCAAGAAATTTGAAAATTCTAAAGGTAAAAGTCAAGAGAAGAAAAATAACAAAACAAATTCACGTGGTGCCCCATAACTTTGGACTATAGGAAATCATTATTAGGCTCCTGTCCTATTCCCATTTTTGTGATTGATTCTATATGAAAGGATAATAAATGGGGGCATAGTATTCTAGACAGGTCAAGCACAATGTCAGAATTTTCATGCCCCCCACCACAAAAAAAATTATGCTAGATTTGTCGACTGTGAACAAGAATTCTTCGCACGTGACATACACATGCTTATATACACAGAGACACATATCCTTATAGAATGTTATAGTTACCACGAGCCTCGAGGGCAAGGGATGTGAAGTGTGACATAATTGCTAACGATTTGAATCTTGTTTCCTCCTTGTTTTGTGGTTATAGAGGCGAATGAAGATGGCGCGGGGTGGAGTGGAATTAAATTTGATATGTTAGTTAACATATTTTCAAAAAATTAATCAATTTTTTCATTGTCATTCAAACTAATGAATAGCCAGAATATACATCTATTAGTGTATATAGTTCAATATTGTAGATAGAGTCATGGTGAACTGGTATAAGATTGATTTTGATTTAGTCCTGAAGCTCCCGGTTTAGGTATAGTCTTGTATATAAACCAACCATTGTAATTTTATTCTAATCAGTGAAACAAACTTTTCTTTGCTAATATGGTATCATAGAACAAAATAAGTTTTTTCGATGGAACTATTGCTAAACCTGATGAGTCTGATCCCTATTATAAGATCTAGTGCCATTGCAATAGTATGGTCAAATCTTGGTTTTTGAATAGTGTCTCTAAGAAGATCTATACCAGTATTCTCTATTTCAAGAATGCATCTGATATCTGGAAGGATCTTCATACTCGCTTTCATAAGTCTAGTCTCCCAAGGCTATACAAGCTCCGTCATCAGATTCACAGTCTTCATCAAGAGAGTCTAGATCTCTCCTCTTATCATACCAAGACTCAAGCTCTCTGGGAAGAACTTTCAAGCATCCAGATCACGCCTCGCACAGTTGAAGATCTGATTGCTGAAAAGAAAACCAATCGAGTCATCGGTTTCCTTATGGGACTCAATGACAACTATGAGAATATTCATAGTCGTATTCTGATGAAGAGGACTTTACCAACTCTCTTTGAAGTTTATAATCTGCGGGACCAAGAAGATAGTCAGAAATCTGCTCGGATCACTCTCCAATCTGATCCCGTTCCTGCAGCTTTTCAAGTCACCCAGTTTTCAGCCCAAGGTTCTGCGAATTCTGTTCAAGTTTCAGGGAATCATAATGCAGGGAGCACTGGTTATCAGAGAAAAGACAGGCCGTATTGTACCTTCTACGGGAAAGTTTGACATGTGGTCGACAAGTATTACAAGAAGCATGGATATCCCACAAGCGTTAAGCCAAATGTGCGATCAAATAAGTCATCTTCTGTTGTAGCAAACACAGTGGTTGAGACCTCTTCTATAGACAGTGGAACTTCCGTTGATGATCTGTCACCGACTCAACTACAACAACTCATGTCTTTTCTCAGTAGCAAGCTTCAGCCTCCAAGCTCTATTTCTACACCAGAAGTGCACTCTGTCTCAGCATCTTCCATCCCTTCTTCATCAACCGTTTGCCCAATTTCCGGTAACTTTCATCCCTCTATCCTTTGTTCTTTTACAGGAACTGATAGGCCTTATGTCTGTTCTCTTGATGGCAATCTTCCTGCCATCAATGCTTGGGTTATTGATTCAGGAGCTACTAACCACATCTCACATGATAAATCCATTTTTTCTTCCTTTAAACCTATCGTTGACACCACTGTCAACCTTCCAAATGGAATTCTCGTGAGCATTGTTGGTGTAGGTTGTGTTCCCTTGGATAGAAACTTCATCCTTAACGATGTCTTATACATACCCCAATTCAAGTTTAATATTCTCAGTGTCAGTTCTTTAACCAATAGATGGCTGTCATGTCTGGTTTGACAAAGTCTCTTGTGGTCTTCAGGATGCTACACAGGGATTAGTGATTGGAATGGGTAGACAAGTGGCTAACCTGTACTTCTTGGACATAGATTCCTTATCTTGTCAAAGTACCACATATTCTTTTGTTGCTGCTTCTGTTTCGAATATTCATTTGTGGCACAAACGTTTAGGTCACCCCTCCATTTCCAAGTTACAGTCTATGCATTCCTTTTTATCCTTACCAAAATCTAAAACTGATACTGATTATTATTATAAAGTTTGTCACCTATAAAACAAAGACATTTACCTTTTGTTTCTCATAACAACGTTAGTGACAATCCTTTTGATTTGATCCATATGGATACTTGGGGACCTTTTTCTACACCTACTCATGATGGTTATAGATATTCTTATTATTGTTGATGACTGTTCAAGTGCTATTTGGGTCTTTCTCCTTAAGAATAAGTCTGATGTCCTTACAGTTTTCCCTTCCTTCCTTACCATGGTAGAAACTCAATTCCAACGTAGGGTTAAAAAGGTGAGGTCCGACAATGCTCTGGAACTCAGTTTCACATCCTTATTTCAATCAAAAGGCATTCTATCCTTTCATTCCTGCCCTGAAACTCCTCAAAAAAATTCTGTAGTTGAAAGAAAACACCAACACATCCTAAATGTTGTTCGTTCTCTTTTCTTTCAATCCCATATTCCTCTCCCTTACTGGGGTGACTGCATTCTCACCGCAGTTCACCTCATTAATCGTACACCTGCTCCTATTCTCAAGGACAAATGTCCATTCAAAATCTTAACAAATAAAATTCCTGATTACCAACAACTCAAAGTTTTCAGATGTCTTTGTTATGCATCCACTTCACCCAAAAACAGACATAAATTTGACCCTAGAGCTCGTGCATGTGTCTTTCTTGGCTATCCCAATGGTTATAAAGGATATCTTGATATTCAGTCTCATAATATCATCATTTCTAGACATGTTGTCTTTCACGAAGAGTTCTTTCCTTCTCTTGGATCTGATCTATCTCCGGAAGATCAAACATTCTTTCCTGATCCGATTCAACAGCCTCATGTGTCATCTCATACTCCTGGTGATGAATCTTCTCATTCTTATAAACCCTATAGAGATTCAACCCTCTGTTGATCATATACTCGATGTTTCTGAACCTTCTGTTCAAACATCACACAGGAAGGTCAAAAAGCCAGCTTATCTTCAAGATTACTACTGTCATTCAGTGGGATCTTCAACCATTCACGAAATCTCTCAGTTTCTTTCTTATGCTAAAGTTTCTCCTCTTCATCTTTCCTTCTTGGTTTCCATAGAATAAGAAAAAGAACCCTCAACCTATGCTGAGGCAAAGAAACTTCTGGTTTGGTGTAGAGCCATGGATGCTGAAACTGATGCATTAGAAGAAACAGGGACTTGGACTATTTGTACGTTGCCTCCTGACAAAACCCCTATTGGCTGCAAGTGGGTCTTTAAAGTAAAGTTTAATGCCGATAGTACAGTTGAGAGGTATAAAGCCCGTTTAGTAGCCAAAGGCTATATATCACAGAAAGGCATTGATTATAATGAGAGTTTCTCTCGAGTTCTTAAACTCACCACAGTTAAGCTGATTCTTGCTCTCTCTGCCATTCATGGTTTTTCACTCACACAACTCGACATATCAAATGCATTCCTTAACGGTGATCTCGACGAGGAGATCTACATGAAGCCACATAATGGTTGTAGACCCCCTAAAAAAAGCTCCAGGATATGCATATAAGAAGGGGGACTCTCTTCCTCCGAATGCCGTGTGTAAGCTGAATAAATCTCTATATGGCCTCAAGAAAGCATCCAGACAGTGGTTCCTGAAATTTTCAACAACTCTTCTCAGTTTGGGGTTTACCACAGTTAAACTCAAACCTACGCGGATCATACATGCTTCATCAAGGTATCTAACACATTATTTCTATGCATGTTAGTATACGTAGATGATATCATTATTGCCAGTAACAATGATTCTGAGGTTGACATTCTGAAGTCTCAGTTTAAGTCATGTTTTAAACTTCGTGATCTGGATCCTTTGAAGTATTTCTTAGGACTAAAAATTGCTCGATCCAGTGAAGGGATTCATGTTTGTCAGCAGAAAAATGCTCTAGATTTACTAGATGACACGAGTCTACTTGGCTGCAAACCATCTTCTATTCCTATGGATCCGCATGTGAAATTCTTTAAGGATAGTGGTGGAGATCTTGTTGATGCTACAGCTTACAGACGTCTTATTGGCCGGTTGATGTATCTTCAAATCTCGAGACCTGACATTACCTTTCCTGTCAACAAACTCAGTCAGATTTCTCAAGCTCCTCGACAGGCACATCAATAGGCAATCTTCAAGATTCTCGCTACATCAAGGGAACAATTGGTCAAGGCCTTTTCTACTCAGCTAAAGCAGAACTTCAGATTCAAATTTTTGCGGATGCGGATTGGTCTTCATGCTTAGACACACGTCGCACTACATCCGGCTTCTGCTGCTTCTTAGGTACCTCTCTCATTCCTTGGAAATCTAAGAAACAACAGGTTGTCTCTAAGAGTTCCACTGAGGCTGAGTATCGCAGTCTTTCGTTTGCCTCTGATGAATTGGTGTAGCTGACAAATTTCCT